AAATGGCTAATGGTTTAGCTGAAAGCACTCAATAAATAAATGTCTAGAAAAGAGAACACTTGTTCACTTACAAGAAAAACATAAAAAATAACAACAAAAGTGCCTTGTTTAACAAAAACATATATATATATATATATATATATATATATATATAAAATGGTTAAAATATAGTTTTAAGGTATCCTATATTTATGCATAAAAGTGCTCAGTATCAGAGATAGAGCATATGTAAATATAAAAGTAGACATTGTGGTCTGTTTCATGCTTGAACACTGTCTCATACAGCCTGAAGATTGGTTGAAGCATGAAACAGATAACCTCAGTGTCCACATATGAGAGAGAGAGAGAGAAACATCTGAAATATCATACCCTATTAAAGGTTTTTGAAGGTATGACTTTTCAAATTGAATCCTTAAATATTTAAACATGCCTCATTCTCCATGAAAAGTATATAGACAAGAATATAAAACAACTAAAGCACTTTTCTACGCATGCTAAAATTCAAATTCTGTTTATTATTCCATTGGTAAACATACAAGATAATCAAGAAAGAAACCAACGTGCAGTGCTGTACACATTATTTGAAAATTTATTTAACTCTGAAGAACATACTTGGCAGTAATCAGGTTTTTATACCCTCATAAATTATTAAAATGATATAAATACTGAAATATCAACAAAAAACAAGTTAGTTAATTAAGGCTTATATGCAAGTATGTTCTCTAGAGTGTATATAAAAGAAGTAGTTAAAAAACAACAAATTTTCGCATGCCAACACAACAACAACAATAATAATTTAGATAACACAGACATTGAAGAGAAACCTTAATTAGGAATGGCAAATTCATCAAGTGACATCATGACGTCAGCAGAAGAGGAATGGTTTGTGGACAGGGTTATTATTGTAATGAGTGTATAAATCTTTTTATTGCTTCTTGAGACAATAATACTGAGAATGAGCAAGGACTGGAAAGGAACAAGTGAACGGGCAACATTACATTGGCCATGTACTTGAGATGAATGAATAGATAGGTGAGTGGTGGTTGATTTACAATGAATCCTGATCAACATCAATGTATTATTAGCCAATAGAAATGAAGTGATCACACACAGATCTATATAACAGATTATTATGACAAAAGCTAGAAGCAACAACAACAACAAAAGCAGAATACTGTCAAATACAAACTGATTGGAAAAGACAGTATGATGATGGTGCATATTGATATGTATAATTTGAGTTATTTCAAGCTAAAGAAACAAATCCCTGAAGAGGTTGGTTTTAATAAGATTGTGGTAGGATGGACCGGTAAACAGTTACATACAAGGCTGGATTTAGATGAAGAGAAGTGCTAGGCTATTCCACTTGTGAGGCCCCTCCAAATCCCCCATTCTCACAAGTAGATGAAAATGGAAGAGTGTTAAATTAAACAATTTGAGTAAAACTGAGGATGATGACGGGTTATTTAGAGTCTACAATTCATTATGACAGCATGTGTAAGAAAATCCTATGACAGTGTTAAAAATATTATGCAGCTTGGCTGGAGGCCCCTAGATTTTGAGACTGCTAAGCCTATTGGTAAATCCAGCACTGGTTACATATCAAGGTGAACAAAATTTGGGGGATTTTAGTCCTGTCTAAAAAAAAAAAAAAAATTAGATTCAAGAAGTGATGGTAATGATATAAGAAAACTTATTATCCCAGCTCTACTTAGTGTATTGAGCACTCTACATTTTAGATTTTAGATTACTCCCTTTGTTTTTTTTTTCTTTGGACTAAAAACTTAAGACACTGGACGATTTGTTTCGCCCTGTTTGGATGTTTCCAGTTCTTTCTATTTTCCTCAGGTACCAATTTGTTTTGATATACTTACAAGTTGTGCTATCCGAGATTTTTTCCAATATAATCCAACATTTTTATTACTTCAAATATTGTTTTTTTGGTGATACCCATATTTGAAATAAACACCCAGTATTTATTATATCTCTTGGTCTGTGAAAAATCTTAATAAAGATAATGTGCTCTCTGGTAGAGTACTAACCTGCATTCCCCTTTGTAGGAGAAACCCCCATTTGATCTGGTATTCTTTAGAACAACTGACCACTGCGAGTGTCCCAGTTCTATTTTCCCTTTTTAAAGAATGCTTATTTCCTTGTTCAGCTTATTCTAAAAAAAAAAAAAAAACCATATCTGCTTAGTTAATTTCTAAAGAATAAATGGATTTATTTTTAAGCAAACATTTTTATTACTTGAAACATTATTTCTAGTGGATACCGGTGTTTGAAATAAACACCCCGTTTTTATGCCTGGGAGCACATTGTCTTCATTAAGATTTCTCAAGTTAAGTGCACAGGCCATAGATGTAATACACAATGTTTAAAATAAAAATAGCGCATTTATTTCAAACACTGATATCTACCAAAAATAATGTTTCAACTAATAAAAATAAATACCTAAATATATACTTCAACTTAAGTGGATACCCATATAATTAGAATGACCATTTTCTTTTAAACAACTTTTATTTCATCTACCAGATATTTGAGATAATTATTTTTATATATATATATATATATATATATATATATATATATTTGAAATGTTTATAATCTAACACACAATCACTTGGTTTTATGAGTAATGTTTCAGGGATTCTCAACCAGGTGGGGAAATCACCCCAAGGGGTTTATTTCAGGGTTTTAGGGTGGAGAGGAGAAAATCCTTTACTTTTTCAGAAGTTTCTCATTGACTGTAATCTTCATCCGAATAAAATTGATTTAAATATTCTAGCACTCTATTGAACTTATGATTTATTAATGTATGCTTGTTTATTTATTTATTTAATTATGAATTAAAACAAATTACTGTACATATATTTAAGTTTAAAAATCTATCAACATTTTCTATTGCTATTAAATTGGTAAAACTCCTCTATAAAAATAATACATGTAAATATGGAAAAGAATGAAGATTTTCAATAATATATGCATATTATTTTAAATGCACCTTTTGAGTTGGACAATCTTGGAAGGGAAGGAATGATATTCTGACTTATGGTAAAAGAGTGTATTGGACAAAAGAGGTTTTGAACCACTCTCAGTTAGGTTGTCAATGTAATAGGAGTATTGTTAAAATCAGAAAGAATGATAGCAGAGGAAATAAGGGGGAAAAGTGAATCAGGAATTAAAGATGACATTAACAAAAAGAATCCAAGGAAAAGGGCCTATTTTTCTGGGAAAAACAATTTTTTTTTATTCCTGCCTCTCATACTGGTTAGATCAAAATCAATGCTACCAGATTTGAGAACAGCAGCATCACCCATTAACTCATTTTATAATATTAATGTTTTATATATTTGGTAGCTTTTCATTCATTTAAAGTGAGAATAAAATGAGGAGATTAATTGAAAATCTGGAGTTTGACTAACTCTAATAGGAAAAATAAAGTTTGGGAATTGTTAAAAGAGAGAAGCTTATTATCTGTTGACCTAAAGTAATATTGGGACATGATAAATGAAAATAAAAAATGTTACGAACACAAACAAATTATTTTTTCATTATTGCAACAAATCTTATGAACAGATTTTCAATTAATTAATTTTGTTTTGTAATTATTGGAAATGTGTTAAATTTAAAAAATTTAATGTATTAAAATGCATGCTTAGCAATCTTGACATCAAAGCCATGAAAAACATTAAGTGAAGAGGTACTTTTTTTTTTTTCTAATACACCTGTGTGTTAGGGTTAATCCATGCTCAGGCACATCTGTTCAACACCCACAGAGCACACCTGTGGTTTATACTGCAACTATGCTAAGCAAATCTTAGAGTTTCTGGGGGAAAGCTAATAATCTGGTGTGATCAGCAGTTTGAACAAGGCCAGTACACTTAAATCTTTGGTGATGATGATGATCTGTGACTTTGGAACTTGATGATTGTGCTAGCACAAACAGTTTCTTTTACCCAATTTAATTCACAAGGCTTTGATCAACCTATGGTATGGTTTCAGGCACTTCCCAATAGTGTCATATACTGGGATCAGTCCCCCTGGCCAATATCATAAAAGTTTCTTGACAAATCGACCATAGTGAGATTCAAGGATTTAACTACTTGGCCACATGTCCACTTTAACAATGGCCAAATGGACTGAAATCTCACAAAAGCTTGAAAAATTATTATATTATTATTATTCATTTTTTGCAAAATTTGGTATAATCTTTTTATCATACCCCCCCTCCACGCAAAAGCAATCAGTAAGTGATAACCTGATGGTTGCATTTAGAGTAAATAATAAGTGACAGGCAATTGCTAGGCAATGTTGTTATTTTGTTTAAATTAGACCAAATTCCTAATTGATACTGATTGGTTGCTGACAAGTGACTGAATAGCTTCATACTTCAGTCTGAAAATAAAAAACTTATCATTCACCATCTCTTCACATCATTACTGCTCACCTTAAATATTATTTTGCAGTAATCAGTTTCTTATAGGAGAGGGTGCTGAAAAGAAAAGTTCTTTGCCTGACCAACACCTCAAAATCACTATTTTGATGTCTGATTTTAGAGATACTGATTTTGGTAAGTGGGCCACAGGCTGAGAGATTTTCAGCACCAACTTACCACCCGACCTGGTACATCTGGATCTGCACAAATATCATTGTTTACAAATTGAAAAACTTATCTCCCTGGACTATTGGCCATTAATGATATAACAGGTCCAAGACTAAATTCTAAAAAAAAAAAAAATTAATTCTATATTCCTTCATATATTTGTTTTTTGCAGTTCTATATGTATATAGAAATTTGTTGTATCTGTGATACTCTTGAAAAATGCCCAAAATAATGTTTTTAGTTCTTAATAATTTTTAAATATTTTGGAGAATAAATAATTTAAAAAAGAAAACATAAGTGAATATAACAAACCCAATAGCAGTTGGAACTTGGCTCTCCAATTAAAAATTCTGAGCCATTATCCACTACACCACCTGCACATCCAAGCTTATAGCAACTGGCATTCACAAGTGATCACCCATCTAAGTACTGACCAAGCTTAATGTTGCTTAACTTCGGTGATCGTATAACAACCAATGTTTCAATGTGATATGACTGTAAGCCAGTAGTTGTATTTGAAATCAGACTTGTATATCCATTTACAGTAATGTTTCTAATTTATTTGATATCTGCACTTGAATTCTAAACTTTGTCTTCAGTGATAGGATAGAAGACAAGCTTGTAAGTATTTTTCTTGATAATATATATTTAGGTTAGTGAACACAAGACTGTTGTTATTTCTTATGACATTAAAAACAAGTTGGCATAAGATATATTTGATTGTATCCCTATTAGGTACACATTTCATATGAGTGGGTGCTGAAAAGTTCTTGGTGTGAACAAAAAGGGTTAAAAAAATAATCTGATATTTGGTTAGTTTTTTGGAAAATGGATTAGGCCAACCACAGCACAGCATCCTAATATGCTACATGTATTTGTATATTTTTCGTCTTTAACATTTTTCTGCACTAGAGTTATCTCCCTTGCACTGTCAACACCACATGACAGTGTCTTTGTTACAACAATGGCAGACTATTCCAGGAGGTGAAAAGACCAACTTTGTGAAAGAGCAACAATAAAAACTGTAAAAAAATATATTTAAAAAACTCACAATTGAAATTCTAAGTAAGAGCTTAAGAGAATATTGTGTGAATTGTTTGTACAGCAGGGATAAACGAATTGTTGAAATGAGTCCATTGATGAGAGTCATAAAAATTTCAGCTATGAAATATTATGGTTAATGTGACCTTTATTCTTTAAGGAACAATTAGCAATAATCACATCATATACAAAAAATAGATCATTCAATAATTAATTAATTTTTCTGAAATTAATAAGCTTTTCTAATTTGTTGGCATAATTTCTCTTTTTTTTCCCCCCCTTTCATCTGCTCTTCTTATAAAGAACAAATTCACACCAAATTCTTATTGCAGATTTTTAGACATGACATGGACAGCAATAGGCATGAAGTGCTAAGGATGTTTTGATGAAATCAAGATGCCCAATCCAAGGCTTAAAATAGAACTAGTTGGATAAAGAAAAAAACAACATCTTTACAAGAACTGCTTAGTCACTTGCCTAATTTTTTTTCCTAAGTTTTAAAAGAAAAAAATTCTTTGATCAAAAAAACTGGTGGAGAACCATACATGTGAGCTCATTCAGACATGGGTAGAGCTCTTCTGAAAAATAACGAGATGTGTTAATTAGATTATGTTGATTAAAATGTGTTAATTGAAAAATGTTCAATGGAGTAGTGAAAAGTTGAGGCAGTGAGCTAAAGAAAGAACAATGGATGCTACAGATTTACAACATGGACACATATAGATACATAAAGATGATACACATATAATGTACATGAGATGAAAAAGAATCATGCACCATACATGAAAATTGGGCTATGTATATAATGCATGAACTTTGTTAATTTTTATTTAAAATATTTTCATTGTGAAATGCTATTTTTAAAATGTTTAATGATTTTTAACTAATATATAACAAGTGAAACAAAATTGTGTACCTTAGAATTTGTTCTAAATGATCAATACAATCTTGGAAGATACTTTCAAAATATGGGTGATGATATTTAACACTGATCAGGTCTATAATTTCCACAAGATTTCAGCATCCAATGTGAACATAAATTATGTATTAGTACATATTTGATGAGCTAAGTCATAAATAATTGAGAAAAATAGCATATTAACAGTGAATTTGTTTCCTTTATCTGTCAGTTTTAAAAAAAAGTTAATTTGTAAAGCGTTTTCCTAAACACCAAAATAAACAGGTTTCACTTCATTAATCTCAATTGAGATGGATGACACAAGAACATTCTAAAAAGGAGGACCCAACAACTGTCATGGCGTGAAGCTTTTCACTTGCCCCATGTACTAAATATACAAACATACACAGTAATCAGACAAAGGAGACAGAGGGACAATGCAAGCAGAAATAAAGCAGTTTACAGTACCATTGGGAGGTGATGTGGCCACTGAAAGAATAGTGAGAAAGAAATTAGTGGTGGACTGGATGTCAAGAAAAAAAATTAAAAGAACAAAATATTGAAGCTTCAAAAACTGGATGTGATTTCATTAAATGTGAAAAAAAAAGTTGCAGCCAAATAAATATTGGTGGACGCTGAGTTTGTATGAATACAATTTACATGTGCACTGCAATATTGAAATGATGACGCGCGGCAACAGGAGGGTTGTTTTTTTGTTTTTTTTTTTAACACACTTAATCCAAAAGATTACAGAGTGCAAAAGAAAAAAAAGGAAAATGAATGTGAAATGATATTTACTACCCTTAGACCGAATTTAATCATTAGAAGAAAAAAAATTGGTAGGTTGAAGGGAGGTAAATATCCAGAACCATTTAAATTTTCAATAATTGAATTGTGACACAAAGTAATTAACAGTCCTGCTGAATTTGCATTTCCATGTGCTCTTTGTGTACAATGGGTTAATGTTAAATTTCATGTCAATGCAAATGTAAACAATAGCATCACCGTTGTTATTAGGGCATCATCATCATCATTTTCATCCTGAGTCTCATCATCCAATGAATTTGAGGCCTCAAATTTGGGAATGGTTAGTTGGGATAAAACTTGAACAAATTATCAGGCAATTGACAAAACCAATTGTGTTCAGAACAATGAAAATTTAATTTGAGCAGAGCTTGGATGTATTTCATGTTTTTATCATACAAACACCATCTTTACATTTTTAATATACATTATAGACATTTGATATACATTAATACAAATCAATGACACCGAATAAAATAGTGAAAATTAAAAGAATTTAACATATTTCAAGGTGATCTGAATTATTGTCAAGAAAGTACTCAGTGATAATAGTCAATAAATTAATAAAAGTTCAATTGATTCATCATTGTTTTTATTTGACCCTGATGAGAAGTGTATTCATGAAACTTAAGTCAGTCAAAAGATAAATTGACTGAACTTTTATTAATATTTTGACTATATATATATATATATATATATATATATATATAGGTAGATAAGACTATAATTCAGAATTATATTTTACTTTCAAAATATATAGATTTTTGGTGTATTTTATCAGTTGCTCTTAAATCTTGAACAATTTAAATTTAATGTCCCCATCATTTACTTGATGTCAACTTGTAAACTATTTATGCTGTTTTCTCCATACTCCATAATTTATTTGTATAATATCTTTATGAACTTTTGTTCATAGTTATAGCCTAAATATATACACATTTCATTTCTTTAAATGTTTTAATAAGGAAATGTTACATAAAACTTCTTTAAAATTAGGACCATATGGTATCATTAGAAGCTATTTTTTTCTTAGACTATCCCAGTTCATTGTAAATCTATAGTGAAAATCATTATTTAACTATAAATATGTAAAGATGCTGTCAGGAGTTCTTCAAGAACCATTGAGAGATTGGTAATACCAAGTAGTGGAAAACCACAAGATGCATCAGATAATCATATAAGAAAATCAGACATGCATACACTGATTACTAATTGGCGTTTTATTTATTGAAAGAAATAATGCCAATGTCAAATCCTGTAAAATTTTAACAAAAGAAATTAAAGTAGAAAAAAATGTATAAACTTTGTCTTATTCAATGAAGTCATTGACTCTGAACACACATTTAGAGAGCAGGGTTGGTTGGTTGGTTGGTTGATGAGTAAGTTAGTAATAATAATTATTAGATTAGAAAGGAACAGTTGTTAGCTGGATTTGCAGAAAGGTTAAAATAATGAATTAATAGTGTTTCATAGCAACAGGAAGCATGTCTTTGAATATGCAGTAACCCAAAAATTTCCTTACACAACCAAAATCATTGTTTGTTGGAAAGAGAAAATGATGTGGTCATATTTTACAATAGAATGAACATTCCAAAAACTAATTTTTTTTTTCAATTCAGCCAATATGCTTTTAGAAAAAAAGAAAGGCGGGGTTGTGTTTCAGTAATCATTTGAACAGATCAATATTGTTAATGGAATGTGAAACACCGTGGAGTGAAAATAAAATGGGATTTGACGAATTTGGAAGCGAGATTGAGTTGGATGGTGAAATGAGTTTCTTTGTAATTGGAAATAACTTAATTTTTTTTTTTTTTGGAACAAGAGATTTGCATTAAATAAATTTTATATTTATCCTAGAATTAAATTATTCACATTTCAAGGATAACTATGTACAATTTGTTGCTCTTTTGTACAATCATCTAATCAGAATTTTCCCAAGATGATTATTGAATATGATGACAGATTTGGATTCAAATAAGAACTATAACTATCTACACTTAATGTTTATTTCTGTTTAACTGTAAAAGATTTCTGACTGATTTGAGGGAGTCATTAAATATGTAGTTTATATAAACTAAGAACAAAAGTTCACTCAAGTGACAAGCTATATCATCAGAGATGTATGTACACATGCTATTATTTATTTATGTACCAATTTTAGTTCAGCTCAAGCAGAAAATGCATCTTGGCATCTTGCTTGATACAATAGTTAACAAGCTCATTTTGTAGACAGAGTTGTTAGTGGCATGAGTTCAATCCTCGCTGCAGCAGCCTTGTACATGACAAACCCAAATTTAGTAAATCAGACTAATTTGAGGAGTCAGATTGTTGTGTATCTACCACAGGTGCTATTTGTCAGTGTTCAAGTTCTGTTAGGAGGGAAAGTGATGCTTTAAGGCAAGCAAGCCATCCACAACATGACTGACATCACTGAGCAAATAGCAATCAACAAAATATCTCTAGCTACTTTTATAATGTATTAAAATCAATTTGAGCATTTATAATTTTACAGTCTACTATGATAAGTATACTAATCTTATATACCATTGAAAATGACCTTCATTCTGGCTTAGGCTTTTAACATTATATAGACAGAATGCCAAAAGTTGGTGTGTAAGTATATATATATATATATATATATTTCAGATAAAGTATGTGTGTATATGTGTAACAGGACAATATGGGTAAAGATGAAAGGAAAACTTATCTTAGCTGCTGTGTTTCGTCCTCTGAGGTATTTGCCATGATAAAGTTCT